ATCATACAGTAACAACTAGTGCAAAACCTGTGTTAGTTCTTATTTCTTACACTATAAACAATGTTCAAAATGAATTAAACAAAACCTGTGTTAGCTCTAATTTCTTACACTATAAAAATGTTCAAAATGAATTAAACAAAACCTGTGTTAGTTCTTATTTCTTACACTATAAACAATGTTCAAAATTAATTAAACAAAACCTGTGTTAGCTCTTATTTCTTACACTATAAACAATGTTCAAAATGAATTAAACAAAACCTGTGTTAGCTCTTATTTCTTACACTATAAACAATGTTCAAAACGAATTAAACACAGGTTTCAGAATTCTCGATTTTAACATGTAATGCATTCATTGATGCCCAAATTTCAACATTATAGAAATGTTAGCATTAGTTTTATTTGTATTATTTGTTACAGGTAAGCAGTAGTCACATGTACAATTTTATAAATATTACCATAAATTTTACTTGTATTAGTTATAATCATTTTTGCCCCCCCCAGTGGCACAGCGGTATGTCTGCGGACTTATACTACTAGAAACCGGGTTTCAATACCCGTGTTGGGCAGAGCACAGATAGCCCTTTGTGTAGCTTTGTGCTTAACAACAATTGTAATCACTTACCCAAATTGTAAAATTTTAGAAATATTACCATTAGTTTTTACCTGTATTATTTGTTGCTAGTAATCTGTAGGCTCTTGCTCAAATTATAGCATTTTATAAATATTATCATTAAGTTTATTTGTTTAACGTGTTAAAACATCTTACCATTGATTTTATCTGTGTTACTTTTCGCTGGTAAACTGTCGTCACGTCCTTCGCTGGGATAAGGTTCTGATTTGGGCCTATCCTACAAAAGAGCAGGTGATTTCAAGGTTTAGTTAAACAAACCAGTTCTAGTACAAGCAATTTATTTTATTATTTTATCACATAGAATACTGTTTAAAAACATATCACATAATTCATTCTATTCATTAACACTGTACACGTCTTAGTAATTCTGATATCTAGTCTACATGCTTTGTTGTTTATATTTATATAAATCAAACACTGTAATGAATACAGAATTTTGACTTTTGATCTTTGGCTACATTGTTAAGTTATACAAAGACTGCGTATATTATATTGAAACGATTTTGTAGCCGCATAACAATGCTACAGTACATGTTGCTACGTCCGTTCATGCTTTTATCTGACGACAGCGAATTTTCATAACAGCCTTGTAGCGCAGTTTCTATTACATAATGGATGTCATGACCAAAGCTTATCAAACCTCCCTGTGTGTTACACAATCTATCTACTGTATGAGGACGACGGTTTTCCAGCGCCTGTCTCAACAGTCTGATCACACAGAAATTCATACTTGCTCTGTTTCCCTTTGAATGGAATATGCACACGTGTCTCTTTTCTAGAAAGGAAATCCTTCTTGATTATGTTGCGTACTGTTGCCTGGTGTTACAAAACACCACATTTGGCCTACCACAGCTGGGGTACGACTTGTTGAAAGTCTCTCATTGGATGGCCATGGGTCCTCACAAATTGTAGTTCTAATACATCCGTTCCATTGCGACCTTACATTGTTTGTTGTTGTCACATGACTAATACCCATAAGAATATCCCTATAGCGTAAAGAAAAATTTAGGTAGCATAATAATACTATATAGCAATCAATCCGTTTTTACTAGGGCAGCCTCCATTTGACAGTCTGTCAAAATAACATAAAATACAACAACACTGTGCACATTATGAAGAGTTTAATGTACGTGTCAAACTCAAAGACGTCCAAATACCGTAGCGTTGCCATAATGTAAAGTCATTAACATTCTTACTTCTTTGTTTCGTTAAGGTCAAAGCCACGTTTGGTTATCTGCTGAGTCCACCGCGGGGAATCGAATCCTGGATTTTACTGTTTTATGTCCGTAAACATATTGCTGTTCCACCGGGGGACACATTTTTACTTTGGTCATCTCCATATTTGGTCAGAGCATCGTGTTACAGCTATCAATAATCAGTTTTTCTTAAGTTAAATTAGGACATAAACTAAAAAAAAGAAGTTAAAAAACATCCAAGACATTCATAGACCATTGAATAAGATAGTCTATAAGTTAGTCGCCATTAGCAACTATTTGCAGTATTCATTTTTTTATTTACAAATGTACAGCTGGCATCTGCATCATAAGTTTCTTAGGCACTTCTACAAATCGACCTGTTTCTATCAGCTATCGAATGACAACAAATGAGACGAGGTAAATCTATATCTAAATCTGCAATACATGGATTCATGCTGTACCATATATGCAGTAGACACAGTCATTGACACATTTCTGTTTAAAGACGAATGATACAATTAACGTGATGTTACTTTATCGTATACGTAACCTAATGTTTTTATGTATAATTACCAGAAAACTGGTAAAACTCTGTAACCGAAAGAAGTCCTTATTGTCAACCACGAATGACACATCTTTAAACAATACACGTTGATTAGGGATCACACGTTTTATACCTGTTTCGTGCATGTATTTCAGGTTTTCCAGTTTAAAGGAATCTAACGAGGTTAAAAGTGTACTTGTTCTGAACCATATATGTTAGGTTAAAAAAAACTTACGCTACGGTTTGTGCCTTGTTTTGTATCAGTTTTTAGATACGAAACGAATTGTTTGCATATTGCAGTTTCTTTCTTTATTTAAAGTTAAGCACAAAGCTACACAATGGGCTTATCTGTGCTCTGCCCACAACGGGTACTGCAGTTTCTTTCTTTCTTTAAAGTTAAGCTACACAATGGGCTATCTGTGCTCTGCCCACCACGGGTATTGCAGTTTGTTTGTTTCTTTAAAGTTAAGCACAAAGCTACAAAATGGGCTATCTGTGCTCTGCCCACCACGAGTATTGTGGTTTGTTGTCTTTTATTTGTGTGAGCCAATTGGTGTCATTGAAATAAATTTATGGAAAGCCTGTATACATTGTAATATTACAAATGAATGAGAACCTTGTCGTCTGATAGTAACTAATGTCTAGATATCGTTGAATGAAGTCAATCTTACAAGGCGATCTCCACTGGTTGTTTGAACAAGAACACTTTTAAAAGATTGCATTATAACATTTTGTATTTTCTCATGGGCGAAAGATAAAAAAAATGTAAAATATAATTTAGTTACGTGTTTCATACACAGAGGATCGCATTTAAGCCTATCGGAAATAATTAATTTCCGTTAAAATAAACCCGTGTAAAAATCTGTGTACATTGCAATATTACAAATAAGAAATGAGAAACATAAAAAAGTGGCGTTATGCAAATTAAAAAAAAAGGGAGGGTACAGAGAGAAAAGCGAGTACTTTTATTATTAGTGATACGTACTTAGTGAATTTAGAGGATATTCAAATCAACATATAGTTTTACTTATTGCTTTCACAAATACGTGTATTTGCAATAGTTCTTACCCCCCGGCGTTTAACAGCTAAATACCAGAAGCCACATTGTATATTGTTTATTGGAAACAAAACATCATTATTAAATATACTGGGGTAACCGGTACCATTCTCACTTCCTGTGTAGAAACGATGTTGCTATATAAATTAATAATTTCTTATCATAGGCTTTAAAACATATTGTGTCACTAAGTATACTTTCTGATGAAAATCCTTTGTGTGGCCGATAGACGTCAATTCTGTCAATTATATTTTTTGCCAGATATTTATTTTTTTCTTCCAATAAAGAAATAACCCTAACCTACTCGAGAATGCTATTTATAAATCTCTAGACATTAACTAGGCTATACAGATGTGTCTGTTGAAGGAAGGATTTATGAATAATCAATGATAATTAAGAGAAAAACACCTTAGAGAACTTAAATAGCGACTGCTGATAGGTTTTACCAACTGTAAGATAAGTCCACTGATCTCTATACTGAACTGGATTCAGCACTGACTCTTTCACGTGAAGTCATCGGAAGTTATAAAGTGGCCATCTTGTTGGTCCCTTATCGTATACTTTCAGTTGCTAAAACGTAGTGTAGTCTGTAAAGTTTTCAAGTTATAGCCTAATGTAAAAATGTCAACATGTGTTGCATGGAATTTTAACAATAGATCAACAGCTGGTTCTATGTAATTCCACTCCTCAGTTAGTTTTAATATAAATGGATTTGCCACTACTAAAATATTACATTATTAGATAATGTTACGTATCTACTCGTTTGATAATTTCCTTAATTTCCGGTATAAATTATTTCCGAAGAACTTCAGCGATACAAGTCCTTTGTTAATTAAAAACTA